TGTCGCGAGCAGAGACTGGAGCACAGAACGAAGCACATTGCTCTTTGCTACTTCCTTGCGCGTGAGCTGCAGCAGCGTGGTCAGCTGCGCCTTGCTTACGTGGCCTCTTGGGCCAACACTGCTGATGTCTTCACCAAGGCCCTTGGGTCTGGTGATCATCACCGTTTCTGCACTGCTCTTGGGCTTGTGCCCACTCTGCCTCACCTGCTGGTTGCTTGACTTGCTCTTGTTGTACACTGATATATATATATATTTATACCTGCTTGTTTACTCTTGCTAGGTTGTGATCAGTGTACTGCCTTGCTATTATAACTCTGCATGTGAACTGGCCTTGTAGCCGCTTGCTTGTGCTCAGATTGTGTGGTGTCCTTGAGATCCACCCTGAGCTTTGCTTTGCTTGTTCTCTTGCTTGACTGGTCTTGTGACCGTCTGTTGTGTTTGATATCTCCCACTTAGCCTATGGGGGTGTGTCAAACTATATGTTTGTGTTCTCTCTAAGCTATAGTGGGTTAGCCTACAAGGGATACAACACTTTAGGGTTAGTACTTGTACCCAACTCATTCATAGTTCATTCATTCCTGCACAGTGATTCTGACAGTTTGCCGCCTCATCCCCAACTCTTTTCTTCTTCTTCTTCTCCTACTTCCTGGGCAGGTGGGCGCAGTGCTCAAAAGTCCTAAATTTCTAGTGGTATATCTTACAAATTTCCCCCTGTCTATAAAATACAAACCTTTCTTGCTGCTTTAAACCATGTTTTTGCAAAAGCGTGTTCAGCACAGCTCCACATCAGGATAATTTGAAGTGATTCGCACGCATCGCAATTTTGGAACAAAGCGCTGAAACTTCTTGAAAAAATATTTGGGCACCCCTAAAAGGAAAGTGTGGAGCAAAGGACGGGTTTGGGGGAACCTGATATTTCCCAAAATTTGACCCCAATGACTCTTGCAGTACAGTTATGAGCCCCGGTCAATTTGCATTCGGGCTACCTGCGTTCTTCTATAAGGACACATATTTGTTCGTTGAGGGTGAAATTGGTTTTCATATTCTGAAATCCTCATCGTACAGAATGCAAAAGCACTGTTGATCAAAACATTTTGATCATGTAAGTTAGGGAGTATATGTAAAGGCAAAAAATCTCTCCACATAATCACAACAAACGTAAAAGAGGCCAACAAAGCATACCGTAGCTAAGTTAATCCCAATGAAGCACCTAAATGGAAACCGCACTCATAAAAAGCCAAAATGATGTTAGAATAAGCAGGCAGGAATGTTGGACTAGGTAGCATGCATGAGTACAAGTACCTAACCCTAAAGTGTTGTACCCCTTGTAGGCTAACCCACCATAGCCTAGAGAGAACACAAACATACAGTTTGACACACCCCCATAGGCTAAGTGGGAGATAGCAAACACAACAGACGGTCTGAAGACCAGTCAAACAAGAGAACAAGCAAAGCAAAGCAAATCTCAGGGTGGATCTCAAGGACACCACACAATCTGAGCACAAGCAAGCGGCCACAAGGCGAGTTCACATGCAGAGTTATATTAGCAAGGCAGTACACTGATCACAACCTAGCAAGAGTAAACAAGCAGGTATAAAGATATATATATCAGTGTACAACAAGAGCAAGTCAAGCAATCAGCAGGTGAGGCAGAGTGGGCACAAGCCCAAGAGCAGTGCAGAAACGGTGATGATCACCAGACCCAAGGGCCTTGGTGAAGACATCAGCAGTGTTGGCCTAAGAGGCCACGTAAGCAAGGCGCAGCTGACCACGCTGCTGCAGCTCACGCGCAAGGAAGTAGCGAAGAGCAATGTGCTTCGTTCTGTGCTCCAGTCTCTGCTCGCGACACAAGGCAAGCATTGCCTTGTTGTCGACGTACAGAACTGGAGGAGAACGAGGCCGCTCCCCCAAGTCGGTCAGCAGGTAGGTCAGCCAGCGTAGCTCCTGTACAGCCATGGCCCCAGCGTAGATCTCGGCCTCACAGCTGGAGCCAAGCACACAAGAAGAACGAGTGGACCTCCACGAGACAGAACCAGAGCCAAGACTGAAGGTGTAACCATGTGACGAACGCTGAGTCGCCTGGTCGTCGGCCCAAGAAGCGTCAGAGTGTCCTGTGAGTACCACTGAACTCCGTCCTCCAAGCACGAGCCCCATGCCCGATGTACTGCACAAGTAACGCAGTACCCTCTTCGCAGCATCAAAGTGCACCTTTCGGTGTCTACCGGGTGCCACGTAGCGAGTCAGGAGGCTGAGAGGGTACGCGAGGTCAGGTCGTGTGCACGTCATCAGGCACATGAGGCAACCCACAAGCTCTGGGTACGGACCACTCGGCTCTACGGACTCGTCCGAAGGTGGAGCTGAGAGCGAGTGGCCGGTAGACAGAGGAGTGGGCTGTGGCGAGGACCACGTGAAGCCGAAGCGCTGAAGGACCTGGTGCACCATGTGTGACTGAGTCAGGGTGATGGTGCGCCGTGCTCTGTCCCGGGTGATCTGCAAGCCAAGATAGCTCCGCAGCTCACCCAGGTCAGCGCAAGTGTGCCTCTCCTGCAGCTCCGCCTTCACTAGAGCCAGTGCCTCAGTGTCAGCAGTAGCAAAAACCAAGTCGTCGACGTACACGAGGGTGTAGAACGGCGGCAGAGTAGTGTCGGTGCGTAGAAACAGCGACGGGTCAGCAGTCGAAGGAGCAAACCCAAGAGCCGCAAGTGTCGTCCTCAGTGTGTCGTGCCACTCGCGGGGCGCCTGACGCAGACCGTACACTGGTCGCCGTAGGCTCCAGTGGGTACCCTCAGGAAACGACCCAGTGAAGCCCTCTGGACGGCGCAACCAGATGGCCTCGCGAAGGCTACCCTGCAAGAAAGCTGTCGAGAAGTCGAGAGAGTGCAGCTCGTAGTCACGCTGAGCTGCAACGTGTAGTAACACCCGAAGAGTGGTCATCTTCGGGGTGGGGGAGAAGGTCTGAAAGAAGTTGATCCCCGCACGCTGACTGAAGCCTCGAGCAACGTAACGTGCCTTGAAGGCAGGCGGAGAACCCGGCGGCCGCTTCACCCTGAAAATCCACATGCCACTGACGATGTTCGCCCCAGGTGGGGGAACCTCGTCGACGTAGGTGCCTGTGGACTTCCAGGAAGCCATCTCTGCGTCCATGGCTGTCTGCCACTGAGAGGAGTACTCACCCGAGATCGCCTCTCCGTAAAAGCGCAGGGTGGGGATGTCAAGTGCATCCGGGTCTCCCTCAGGGGCAAGCAGCATGGTCGCGAGATGGGGTGCATCGGCCGCAAGGCACTCCAGCTCCTCTTGTCTGTCCTCAAGAACGTCACAGCCAAGGGCAGTACAGCCAAGGGCAGTCTCACCCCCGACGGACGGAGGACAGGCAGGGACAGGGTCAGAAACAAGACTCGCAAGGTAGTCTAGGCGGTACACAGCAGCAAAGTCAACGAGCTCAGCAACTAAGGCAGACGCAGCAGGAGACGAGAACGAAGGGTCAGTCACCACCGTAGCAAGAAAGCGAGTAACAGTCGGACTGGACGCACGAGCAAGGTCAGACGGAGGGTCAGCAACGTCAGGAAGTGAGGACGCAGGAGGTAACGGCAGGACAACACGCTGTGGAACAGAGGAAGGACGGAGTGTCATATCGTGAGTGCCTGGGACAGTCGGAGCACGCGAACGACGAACACGAGGAACACGAGCACGGACAGCAGCTCTAGGCTCAGGCTCAAGGTCAAAGCTAGACTCAGGCTCTCGACGCTCAGGGGTGGAAGCACGAGTCTCAGGCTCTCGACGCTCAGACAGGGACTGTGTCACCGCAGTGTAAGGAGTAGGAGCAGGCAGTGGGGAGTGCGGTAGTAGTGGCGGCTGAGACTGGTCGGCCGGTGGAAACAGTAACGGAGGAGTAGTACCTGCCACAGGGAAGTCAGTAGCACCTGGCGGAAGACTGAGAAGGTGGCGAAGAGCACCAGCAGCTCCCGTACCTCCAGCACGAGCAGCTCCACTTGCACTCCTAGCAGCACCTCCAGCACCAGTACCTCCAGCACCTCCAGCACCACTAGCTCCGGCAGCTCCAGCACCTCTAGCACCAGCAGTACCTCCAGTGCCAGCAGCTCCAGTAGCACCTCCAGCACCTCCAGCACCAGTAGTACCACCTGCTCCGGCAGCTCCAGCACCTCCAGGCTCGGAGACCCCCCCGGGTTTCCCGCCTCGACCGTCTTCGCCCCCTTCGCAGCCTGCTGCTGTGGACTCTGGAGCTGAGACTTCACGTGCTGAGACAGAGGGTGAGGGTTCTGGAGGTGCTGTGCCTGGGGGTGCTGCGACTGGGGGTGCTGACTCTGGGGGTGCTGCGAGTGCTAGTGGCGGTGGAGTTGTGGGTGACCCTGGTGGAGGTCCTGGAGCTGGAGGTACTAGAGGTGCTTCTGGTGCTGGAGGTGCTAGAGCTACCACTACTGGAGGTGCTGGAGCTGGACAGCCACCGCAGCCTGCTCTACTTGAGACACTCTCGCGGCAGGCGATTCGTGCGTGGGTCGTTCGGCGAGGCAGTCCTGGTGGTGGAGGGTAGAGTCCTGCTGGTGCTGGAGCTACTAGTTCTAGAGGTGCTGCTGGTGCTGGAGCTACTAGTCCTAGAGGTGCTGGAGGTGCTGGAGGTACTGCTGGAGGTACTAGAGGTGCTGCCGATGCTGGAGGTACTGGAGCTGCTAGTCCTGGAGGTACTGCGGGTACTGGAGCTGCTGGCACTGGAGGTGCTGGTGCTACTGGTGCTGGAGCTGCGGGAGCTGCTGGTCCTGGAGGTGCTCGTACTAGAGGTACTGGAGCTGCCGGAGCTGGTGGTGCTGCTCGTGCTGGAGGTGCTACTGGAGCTGCTGACCCTGGAGGTGCTGGAGTTGCTGGTGCTGGAGGCACTGGAGCTGGAGGTACTGGAGGTGCTGGAGCTGCTGGTCCTGGAGGTGCTCGTACTAGAGGTGCTGGAGCTGCCGGAGCAGGTGGTACTGCTGGTGCTGGAGGTGCTGGAGGTGCTACTGGAGCTGCTGGCACTGGAGGTGCTGGTGCTGGTGGTGCTGGAGGCGCTGGAGTTGGAGGTACTGGAGGTGCTGGAGCAGCTGGTCCTGGAGGTGCTCGTACTAGAGGTGCTGGAGCTGCCGAAGCAGGTGGTACTGCTGGTGCTGGAGGTGCTACTGGAGCTGCTGGCACTGGAGGTGCTGGAGGTGCTGCTGGTGCTGGAGGTGCTGGAGCCTAGTGTCAAAATAGGAAAGTACAGTGTCAAAATACACCAGCATCCACTTTAGAAAAAAACATGGCCTTCCATTGATTAGAGACTAGTTTGATAAGAGACTAAGAACATGTAAACAGAACTCAAATAAGGGTTCTATGATGTGAAGGCTTGGATTATTCCACTACAAACAATCAGGTAACAACAGTATTAAGCGAGCAGCGACAAATATTATTCGCCTCATGACAACTAGTATCAACTACGAATGCTATTGGCTGTGTTTAGGCTTGGGGAGCAGCTCCGGGAGCACGACCAGGAGCAGCACCGGGGGCAGCACCAGGGGCTCGGCCAGGTGCACCCCCGGGAGCAGCACCGGGAGCACGGCCTGGAGAAGTACCGGGAGAAGCGCCGGGAGCAGCGCCGGGAGCAGCGCCGGGAGCAGCGCCGGGAGCAGCGCTGGGAGCAGCGCCGGGAGCAGCGCCGGGAGCAGCGTCGGGAGCAGCGCCGGGAGCAGCGCCGGGAGCAGCGCCGGGAGCAGCGCCGGGAGCAGCGCCGGGAGCAGCGCCGGGAGCAGCGCCGGGAGCAGCACCGGGAGCAGCCCCGGGAGCAGCACCGGGAGCAGCACCAGGGGAAGCACCGGGAGCAGCCCCGGGAGCAGCCCCGGGAGCAGCCCCGGGAGCCCCACCAGGGGCAGCTCTGGGAGCAGCACCAGGAGCAGCCCCGGGAGCCCCACCAGGAGCAGCACCAGGAGCTTGGCCGGGAGCAGCCCTGGGAGCAGCCCCGGGAGCACCGCCGGTACCTCCACCAGCAGCAGCCCCTGGAGGAGGGGGAGGGGCCTTCCCCGCAGCAGAAGGTGTAGGCGCAGGGGCAGGGGCAGGGGTAGGAGCAGGAGTGGGGGCAGGAGTAGGAGCAGGAGTGGGGGCAGGAGTAGGAGAAGGGGTAGGAGAAGGGGTGGGAGCAGGATTGGGAGCAGGGGTGGGAGCAGGAGTGGGAGCAGGGGTGGGAGCAGGAGTGGGAGCAGGGGTGGGAGCAGGGGTGGGAGCAGGGGTGGGAGCAGGGGTGGGGGCAGGAGTGGGAGCAGGTGCAGGGGTAGGCGCAGTAGTGGGGGCAGGAGTAGGAGCAGGAGTGGGGGCAGGAGTAGGAGCAGGAGTGGGGGCAGGAGTAGGAGAAGGGGTAGGAGAAGGGGTGGGAGCAGGAGTGGGAGCAGGGGTGGGAGCAGGAGTGGGAGCAGGGGTGGGAGCAGGGGTGGGAGCAGGGGTGGGAGCAGGGGTGGGGGCAGGAGTGGGAGCAGGTGCAGGGGTAGGTGCAGCAGCAGGCACAGGTGCGCAGCGTGGAGGGGCAGGAGCACCAGAGGGCACACCAGCCAGAGGAGGAGGTTCCATGCCAGGGGCAGACGGGGCAGGGTAGGGGCGGAGGGCGCTAGGCGGCTGCCGGCCAATCCCCTGCAGGTTCAGATTCACCCGCATTACTGCTGGTGCTCCGGGAGGGGTGGGGCCAGGGGGTGCGGTGGCCCCAAGTGCTTCTATCACCGCACGGAGCGGCACGTCAAAGGATCCTCCTGAGAGCAGCTCGAATATCTTCCCGCGGCGAATGAATTTCCCGGCGAGAGTGGGCGCGTCGGCATCGGGAATGGTGACTTCAACGTTCTGCTGGTCCACGTTGGAGCGGAAGAGCGAGCCATAGACGTGGGAGAAGAGCAGCTTGGTGTTGTTGGGCTGGAACGAGTAGTCACTCGTGGTGTTGTCGATGGGGAAGCACCCGCCCCAGATCTGCACCTGGGGGTTGTCAAAGGTAAGGTTTGCGAACTCGGTGGGGCCTGCGGGTGGAGCGATGAAGGCTGTCCACGTGGCAGGGTCCGAGGAGAAGTTGGACGAGAGCCATTCAGCCTGCACATCACAAGGAGGCGTAGCAATATTTCAGGACCATGCGTCACATTCAATAGACCTAAAATTTTCAAGTTGTTTTCAGAGATTTTTTATCTGTTATCCACGGTTGATACAAAGGGGATTCAACTTACAAAGATGGGCGTGAACTGCGGCCGGATGACCCGCAACACGTTGATAACGACGGGCCCCACCAGCTTGAACAGCCCCGGAGTGCTCTCCTTTCTCAGCCCAGGCGGCCCTTCCAGCGACCACGAAGAGACGGAGTTGTCAGGAATCGCGTTGAGGTCCACCAATCCGCGCATGACACGTGGCGGTTTCTGTGCACAAGCAGGTGCTGAAAACGTGGAAAGAAGCAGCACGGTCGAGATGGAGGCTAGGACTGCTCCGAGGAGCACTGATCGAGAATCCATGGTGGGAACTGAGGAGCCAAACGAGGCTGCAGAGGGCCGGTATCTCAGTACGAAAATGGAAAGAGCACAGGTGTAACAAGACGAAGGCGATCTCGTCATCCTCGATTTCGCCAACTCAGCTCCTTGTGATCCGAACCAGAATTCGGAACACACCCTAAGTACATTTCGGGAATTCAATGTTGGAATCCAACATTGAATTGTGCGGCTCGTAATTCTGAGTTTCCAACCGTGGGAACAACTCCAGAGAGCATACTACTAGTGCTGGACACAACTGGGCAGAGAACTCCAACAGCGCAGCAAAGTATTTGACAGCACAAGCAAGCATACTTTCCTACAGCCATGGCTACTTCCAACAGAGCTCGTGGTCATCATTATCAACGACACCATGGACGACAACAAGACAAATAATCTCTGCCCATTACCTTAGTGAATTCCTAGGCTATGCTTATTGGTTCTAGGATATGACAACAAGGCTAGTATGTCTTGTACATAATCATAATGACTATGCCTTGCTGTCCTTAGCTCTGGAAAGATGATAGGCGACCTGAGCGACCTGCTCGAGGCGCCCTTGCTAGTATCCTAGTATATTAGGATATATCTCTGAAATGTAAGCCATCATATGATCTCTTGTAAAGCTATCTTGCTACTATCTTTCTGAAATTCCCCTAAGAGCACTTCCTACTACTACTACTCTGCCAAAACAGCTTAGTGGCTGTTTCATTTGGTATCCGAGCTATCTTCGATCCTCCTTTTCTTGAGAACAGCGTCATGACGACTAGTAAGGTACCTTCTCGTGATGAATGGGCCACCTACTTGCAAACGTACCGTGCCCAAATTGTTGCTGAAGTTAGAGAGAGCTTGCAAGCAGAGATGCAAGCTAGTGTAGCTGCAGCTGGAGTGGCGGCAGCAAACTCAAGCCCTGCTGCACCGCCAGACGGAAATCAGCGCGCTAGACCCGCCCTTCCTGATTTTTTCTTTCCCGGGAGAAACCAACCAGTCGTGAGCCGTTGGCTCTTTCTTGTTGAGCAATTCCTGCTCCTGAGTCACATACTACCTGCCGAGTGGACTGCTTTCACCGGCACCCTTCTTCGTGGATCTGCAATCACCTGGTGGCAATCCGTGCATGCGACCATCCAATCATGGGATCAATTCAAGCTGATCTTCACTGCAACCTTCCAACCGGTGAACCCGAACATCAGAGCACGAGACGCCTTGGCTGCTCTGAAGCAACTCAAATCTGTTCAAGATTACGCTTCTCGCTTCCGTGACATCGCTCAAGAGATCCCGGACCTTTCCGATGCTGAGCGGATGGATCGTTTCAAGCGCGGGCTGAAAACAAACGTGCGCATGGAGGTCGAGCTGAGGGACTGCTCTACGCTCGAGGAAATGATACGCGTGGCTGAACGGTATGATTCTGTCCATTACGCATACAACAAGCCTCGCTTTCCTCGTAGCCCGTTCCTCCCGTTTGCTCCCTCCTACCAGCCCTCTACTCCAACTGACTCCAATCTTCAAGAATCTGCTCCTATGGACCTGGACCTGATGGAGAAGAGAAAGAGAAACCCGAGGCCAGCCATCGTGTGCTACAAGTGCGGCAAGAAAGGGCACGTGTGGAAGGTCTGCCGCCAACGCACCAATCAGCCTCCCATCCTTCCAACGCCGGGAAACTCAAGTCGCCAGTAAACTCGGGGCAACTTTCTGGTGACTATGCCTGCCCCACCATCTCTTCCCTTGAAAGTCGTAACCCCTCTGAACCCCTTCTCCTTTCCATGCTGATTCGTGGTCAGAGAGTGAAAGCTCTAGTTGACAGTGGTGCTTCTTCTAACTTCATCTCCTCCTCTCTACTCTCCAAGCTTTCTCTTCCAACTCAATCTGATTCCATACCTCAAACAGTGTTGATGGCGAACGGAACCTCGATTTCATGTGGACAAGTACCATTCCCTGTTTCATGTACAATCGGACCTTACAGAGACAAGATTCAGTTTCAGCAAGCATCTCTCGGAGACCATGAAGTGATTCTTGGACGTGACTGGCTTTCCTTAAAAAACCCCAAGATTGATTGGACTCTTGGAACCGTCACCATCTCTCACTCTGGAAGAGATATCACCTTACCTACCTTCTCCTCCTCCTCCTCTACCTCTACTTGCTGCAACATCCTCTCGAAACGGCAGCTGAAAAAATCTCTCAATGACCCAAACTCACAATTCTTCCTCTGTTTTTTGAATCAAATTTCAGAAACTCCTATTCTTCCTTCCCCTCCCAAGGCTGCTGAAATCCCTTCTGAAATTCAACAGGTTGTCAATGAGTTCAAAGACATCTTCCCTGCTGATCTTCCCTCTTCACTCCCTCCAAAGCGTGCCATCGATCACCGCATCATCTTACAACCCGGTGTTGAACCTACCGTTCGCGCTACGTACCGGATGAGCGCTGCCGAGCTGAAAGAAGTTCAGAAGCAGTTGGAGGAGCTTCTTGAGAAGGGCTTCATCCGCGTCAGCTCCTCTCCCTATGCAGCACCGATTCTCTTCGTCAAAAAGAAAGATGGCAGCATGCGCATGTGCGTTGACTACCGTGCGCTCAACAAAATCACCGTCAAGAATCGCTACCCGCTACCTCGAGTGGAAGAACTCTTTGATCAACTTGGTGAGGCCACAATTTTCAGCAAGCTGGACCTACGAAGCGGTTACCATCAAGTGCGTGTCGCTGACGAAGACATCGAGAAAACCGCCTTTCGAACACGGTATGGGCATTTCGAGTTTCTCGTGCTTCCTTTCGGACTAACGAATGCCCCTGCCACCTTCATGTCCTTGATGCACAGTGTCTTTCGGGATTTCTTGGACCGGTTTGTCATCATCTTCATCGATGACATTCTGATTTATAGCAAATCCTTGAAGGAACACGTCGAGCATCTAAGGCAAGTCTTCACACGGCTTTGTGAGCATCGTCTCTTCGCCAAACAGAGCAAGTGTGAGTTTGCCAAGCCCTCGATTCCTTTCTTGGGCCACATCATCTCACACAACCAGCTTGCTATGGACCCTTCCAAAGTCAACGCCATCAGGGAATGGAAGGAGCCAACCTCTATCAAGGAAGTGCAAGCCTTCCTTGGTCTTGCCAACTACTACCGCAAGTTCATTCGACACTTTGCTGCCATCACCTCTCCCCTATCCAACCTTCTTCGCAAAACTGAACCATTCCATTGGGACTCTGACCAGCAAACTGCCTTCAATGCTCTCAAGTGTGCACTAACCTCTTCTCCTACTCTAGCCCTACCCAACCCCTCCCTACCCTACGTGATATGGACAGATGCGTCTCAGGTTGCAACGGGTGCAATTCTCTGTCAAGATCAAGGGCATGGCCTTCAGCCTATCGCCTTCGAGTCCCGGAAACTGAAACCTGCCGAGTGCAACTATGCTACTCACGATCGCGAGGCGCTGGCCATCGTCCATGCAATCAAGAAGTGGCGCTGCTATGTTCACATGCAGCCCGTCACTGTTCTTACCGATCACTGCACCCTGCAATACCTGAAGACGCAGCCCCATCTCACCCCGAGGCAGGCCCGATGGATGGAGTACCTGGAACAGTACGTACCGGAGCTGAAAATCGAGTACCGCGCTGGCCGCCTCAACCCTGCTGATTCCTTGACCCGGCCTCCTCAACCTCAGCTCACCACCATCGGAAGCGTCACATGGGACGAAAGTTTCATCAAGAAGTTCACCAAAGGGTATCGTCGTGACCGTTTCTATCTCTACTCTGCTGCTGATGATAAATCTGTCTTCTACGAATCCCCCTTTTGGTATAAGGCAGATTCCCAAGTCATCTGCATCCCCGCAGAGCGCAAGCTTCGTCACCTCCTGCTACGCGAGCATCATGACCAGAATGGGCACTTCGGAGTGGACAAAACGCTTGCTGCCATCTCTTCCAACTTCTTCTGGCCCAAGCTCTCTCGAGATGTCCGATCCTACGTACGCAGCTGCCACACATGCCAGTGCAACAAAGCTCGCAACGCTGCACCCTACGGCCTCCTACACCCTCTGGAAATCCCTCAGCTCCCATGGACTCATGTGACACTCGACTTTATCACAGATCTGCCTCGCACCTCCTCCCATCACAACGCCATCCTCACCGTCGTGGACAAGCTGAGCAAGATGGCACACTTCCTCCCTACCTCCACCACCGCTACTGCTGAGAACGTCGCTGATCTCTTCTTCAACGAGGTGGTACGTCTCCATGGCATTCCTTCCGTACTAATCAGTGACCGTGATTCTCGGTTTGTTGGCAGATTTTGGCAGTCCCTTTTCAACAGATTGGGCACCAAGATTCGTCTCTCCACTGCCTACCATCCTCAGTCCGATGGGCAGACCGAGAGGATGAATCGAACCCTTGAAGATGCCCTGCGTGCATGCGTGAGTGCACGGCAAAACGATTGGGACCAGCACCTGCCATCGATCGAATTCTCCTACAACAACACAGTGAACCTCGCCACGGGACAAACCCCTTTCTTCCTCGCTACAGGGCAGCAGCCCCGCACACCAGCTTCTCTCGTACGCAGCAGTGACACCAAACCAGCAGCCGACTTCCTCTCTACTCGGGAAAAAACCATTGCAGCAGCACGCGCTTCCTTGCTCAAATCCCAACACCGAATGATCCGGTACGCCGATCAACACCGTCGTGACATTCAGTTCCACGTAGGTGACCAAGTCCTTCTCTCCACCACAAACCTTCCCTTGCTGCAGAAAGGTCTCACTCGTAAGCTTGCACCTCGTTTCATCGGCCCCTTCACCATCACCCAAGTTCTCTCTCCTCTCACCTACCGTTTGAAACTTCCACCACACATCAACATACACCCTGTTTTTCACGTTCAGCTGCTACGTCCTTACCACATTCCTCCAGCCCAC